TCATTAAACACATCAAAATACCATATTCCATGTTAGAAAATAATATACAAGTGGTTTGCACCTTTTTAGCCAGTTTCACATTTAGTGTGCCTAAGGCATGCCCACATTTCTCATTAATTGAAAATCAAAGAAAGCTTAGAAAGAACTCCCATGTGCTGAGAGTATTGGAGACACATTAAATATAATTTGAAATTACTTAGCTGAAAACTAGTTATGCAAATCAGAAAATTAACATGAACAGATTTGATTGTAAAACTAATGAGGTCTGCGCAATGTAACAAAAACTCTATGTACCAAGTTTAATTGAAATGTGATTAGAACCAAAAAATTATGAATTATTATGCTAATTAGGGAAATAATATGAACAGAGTTTTACCCCAAACTAATTAGGTTTGTACATTGTCCTAGAGCATCTATGTACCAAGTTTCATCAAAATCCAATGAGTGGTTGTTTAGATATCAGTGGAACAGTCATGGAACCACTAAAAAATAGCTAATTATCATGCAAATTAGGTAATTAATATGCACGGATTTTCACCAAAAACTAATCAAATCTGCGCATATGTTCAGAGCATCTATGTACCAAGTTTCATTAAAATCCAATGAGTGGTTCTTTAGATATCAGTGGAACAGTCATAGAACAGCTAAAAATTAGCTAATTATCATGCAAATTAGGTAATTAACAAGCATAGATTTTTACCAAAACCTAATCAAATCTGCGCATTGGCCCAGAGCATCTATGCACCAAGTTTCATCAAAAACTGATTTATGGTTCTTGAGATAGCAGTGGAACAGTCGGACACACATACACACACACACACACACACACACACAACACACTAACTGCAAAGACTCCCATTTTGTGCTTCGCACATGGGAGTCAAAAATTTGTGTCTTTAATCATTTGAGTTCCTAATAAGAAAGAGTGAGCAAAAATGTTTGATTCCAGTTAAATTTGGATATTGTTTGTTTTGAACTCTGCAACACTGGCAACTGGTACGCATAAATAGTTTTGAGAATAAGAGGCATGGACAAGACTTTTGTTGCCGTCAACTATCGCTTTAAAACTTGCTTGCAGTAGTCTCAACTTTCTTTTCACTTCTGCAGCAGTTTTCCCCATCAGTCCCTGTCATTTAATTATAAAAGACTCGTGTTAAAATAATACATGGAACATCTGCAAACAGTTGAATTAATATGCACTCTATGTGGGTACAACTCATCATAAAGTGATTCCCCTTAATCTAGTATTGTACTATTGTTTAGAGAGGTAATTTTGGATGAAAATCATGAAAAACAATACTTAGGATTTTCAGATCTGGGAATAAAAATTAGGTGCATATTCAACAGAGACTTGTTCATCAATCTGCCAAGTTTCATCGATAGCTGCTGCAAAATTTCTGAGAAAATCTAGGAGATGTAAAGGAAAGTGGACGGATGGAAATCCGGAATCTTTCAGGCTGCGTCTGATACGAGGACTAATAAAGCTAGCAGAAAGTAATACTGCTTAGTGATCACTGAAAATTACTTAATTGATATGCATAGACAGAAGATGCAACTGTTTTTGTAAAAGGTGACAAATGTTAATGGCTTTGATATGCAAATTACTTAATTAATATGCATAGACAGAAGATGCAACTGTTTTTGTAAAAGGTGACAAATGTTAACAATGGTTTTGATATGCAAATTCTTAATTAATATGCATAGACAGAAGATGCAACTAATTTGTGGAAAGTGACAAATTGTTAACAACTGCAGTGAAAAGGCTGGTATTAATTAATATGAAGACAGGATATTTTATGAAAGGTAGTCGAAGTATACAACACAAAACTTACCCTTATTAGATTTTTTATCAACTTTAGGAATAACATAATCCTTGTAAAGATGGGTGGATGGTTTAATCATACATCCTTTGTGATTTGAGTCTGATAACATTCTGTAAACTGGAGAAGCTGAAACATCACATTGTAATCTGTAAATGAAATACATAGAATTATGAATAAAAGACTAGGCTAATAACTTAAGATTTGAGGTAAATTTGAAAATAAAATACAAGATAACTGGTGTGCAATCAGAGGATGGTGGAGTGTCTTCATTCAATCACAGTCCTATTCCCGGTCTGTAAACTCGCATTGTATGAGGTAATCTAGTTAAGCAGCATGTTACATACATGCAAGACCTACTTTTGAAAGAATTCACCCAGTTTTAAATGACATTCGACAATCATAAGTAGGACCATCCAGACCAAATATGAACAAATGTGCCTACCATAAACCATATGGTATTGCCTACATTTTCACAAAATCAGCCAATGCACATCAGAAAAATGATGGATGGATGGGATTTAGAAAGAAGGATATTTGGGTTATTAGATCTGAACCTGCATTAAATAGATTACACCTGAACAGTATTGCTCCACCAATTCAGCTTTCAGGAAGACGCATATATTTATTACACTGTGAGACATATCTAGCCAGCAAGCCCACTGTCCTCTTAATAACTGTTCCCTAGACGTCAGATTTAAAGTTCTAGAGCGTGTTCCATAGTTACCACATTACTCAATGCCCTTGAACATATAAGGGTTTGATTTTACAATCAGTTGTCCATGAGCCTGTGTGTATCAGTTTTTAGTAGGTTAAATATACATGCTCCATGTTGCCCCAGAAATATTCAACAAATTAGACCATCATTGTGGAACTATTACTAGAGATCCTATCAATACCATGATAACACAATTTAGGATGATTCTCTCTCTTCACATCACTGATCGACCAAATGGCAGAACTTCAGAATTAGAAATTGTCATATTTGAGACTTACAAATGGTTCACTTACATGAAAGGAAAGTTCTGTAATTCACTGCAGTTTACCCACAAATTCCGGTTTACGGCAACTCCTGACTGTTGTCTCTGGTCATTGCCCTAACACATCAGATGCTTAAACAATTAGACTACACCAGTGGCTGTAGTGTGCAAATTTTAAGAGCAATAAAATTAGGTCAATGAATGCTTGCTGCAAGCAAAATACAGCAGCTGTCCGAGATTTTAGCTGAACTGACAGATTAAACCTTTTGCGGCAACACTTTGACAAATAGTACCAGTCTCTAAATCCATTTTTCTATATTAGCTTTTAGAAGAGTTTTGTAATATACAATATTTTCCTTACTTCTCCATCAAGAAAAGTTGACATCAATGAGGCTCAACTTAATACACATGTCGCATTTATATGCATTTACTACTAAGTGTTAATTTTATTTTAATTATTAGTGTACATGTTTGCGAAAACACCTACTACGCAGATGACACATTTTATAAACATATTCTGTGTGGTGATTATCAAATAAAATTTTCCCTCTTTACATACTAACCAGATTTGCTTTATCAGTAGCAAATGAGCTTACAAAAAATACAAAATGCCTATTGTCAAAATATTTTAGTAATTCAGTATACTACAAATGCCATTTTCACACGTTTCCCATTTTAGATCTGTGTCCCACTGAAATGGGCAGTTGTTGATTTTTTTGCTGAAAATGATTACTTGTATCCAAGTAAATTTGAGATATTCCTCGTGCTGAAGCCATGCCCATTTATCCTGAAACGGTCTGCTGTTTCCGAATTTTGCTGAAAGTGCTCCACCAAATGCCAAAATATGCGTCATTGAACATACTTTTCACTATGTTAATGTAAAAAGTAGCAATAATTTTGACAGTGACACAAAACGAAGCGTCGGACAAACAGGAAATTACACAGCCCTTACACACTGCCAATTGTTTTCATTTTCACAGGCTAAAAATTTCCGAATTGTTCAGTGATTGGTGTTGAATGGCGAGGCAACTTCACACCTCCGTTACCTTCACTTGCAGCTTGAACTGCATAATAATTTATGGAATGTAAATCAGGGCTTGGGCTGTCAATGTGCTTCCATTAGGTAAATTTTTAATATGTCATATTTATGACAATCAGGCTAACTCAAATCCACTCTGAATTAATCTGTATGCATGTTGTTCTCAATTAATTTTGTTATCCAATTAAACGCTGCCATTCACGCACTTGTCCTCATCGTGAACTGCCGTGTTCACCTATTTCAACTGAATGTTTTTAATTCTTTCAATTTTTGTTCTCTTTTTTTTTTTTTTACATTATTTTTAATGTTTTTTTTCTTCTTTTACTCAGACGATCGATGAAATGAAACAGTGTAGTGACGTGCCTAGTAACTTGCTAAATAACGAGACAATACAGGCGTCAAATTTGATTTTGTTAAGTGCCAATGACAGTGTAAAAACTTGCACCATGACTGACGATCACGATGACCAGCTACACCAGAACGGACATTTTTCGCATCTAACTCAACCCCATGCAACAAACTTGATACTACGTGTTTATTACAGTCCTTTCTCGACGAACAAGTACATAAGTGGCAATTTATGTCGAAGATGAGAAAACTGCACAAGAATTTGTCTTATTTACACGTATCGGCAATGCAAGCTGCCCAGCAAGTTCCCCTTCACAAGGGGAATTTATGTATGCTAATGAGGAGCCTCAGTTTAAAATACACAAAAATAAAGTTGCCG